CTTCTCACAAACGCATAGATGTCAGAAACCCTTTTTTTCCGATGATCGTGTCGAGTGCACCATCTTGTTGAGCAGCAAGATTGTATTTTCAAAATGTAATATTGGACAAATTTTAACAATCGCTCTTCAAGTTTTTAATGCGTTGTGATATTTTTCTTGCATACAGCTGAATATTTTCGTCAACTTGATTAATAATAACATTTAGCAACAATCTCACGTACTATTCTGCTGATGATGATTATGACAAAGTTCATGGAAAGCTTGAGAAAATAAAGTCAATCTTGTCGAAGCACCCAACTAGAGGTTGAAGATTCTCTCACCTGACTGGTTGCTTAGACGACAATGAGAACGGCCACATATACATATATATATATATATATATATAGGGTGACTTCGAAGTTGAGTCATTAATTTTCAGATAATGATTGTAGAAGGAAGATAAACCAAAATATGTGTGTAAAGATAAAAAAAAATTAAAAAAAATTTTTTACCTAGTTTTATAAAGTATCCTCCCGACAAGTATTTCAGTGCGGACCTGTATTTGATCGTGAGGACCCCTGTGAGGTCTTAAGTCACCTGATTCACGAGCCCGTTGTACTACATTAACAAAGGCACGAGGGGTTGGTTGCACTCGATTGGGAAACCGATCCGCATAAACATGTGCCATTTTTTATTTCGTTTGAGCCACGCAACAGACACTATTCACACGCGTTACCGACTGACCAGAGATAAACCCTTCGACTGACGCTGACTGTATGTATAACTGAACTGAATAAAATAATTGTAAAAACATCGTTCCAAATTCTTTCGCTTTTTTGTTTCCGATGCGATGAACCGATAAGGCGGATTATATCCGTTGTTGCCAAACACGAGCACATGATATTATTATTGAGACAGGGCGGTACTCAAACTTCCAAAGGGCTATAACTTTGTTACTTTAATTTCACCAGAAAAATGGTAAAGGAAAAAAACATTTCTTTTGATCAGATCTACTCACTGTTAAAATCAATGACTCAACTTCGAAGTCACCCTGTATATATATATATATATATATATAACTTGAGACGTGGTCACTGTCATCTGGACCTGTTAGGTGAAAAATAAAGCCTCCGGCTTTAGTTGGGTACTTCGATAAAATTCAAGCAACGAGGACTCTTTACGAGTATACTTTATTAGTCTCTAGCTTTCAACGAACTTTGCCACCATCATCAGGAGCTGCAGTAACATTAAGAAAAAATAGCGAATATTGTGCAAAATGATTTTAAATTACTTACAATAGTATGTGAGATTGTTGCTAATGTTGTTAAAGGTTAAGTTGAGGGAAACATTTAGTAACCTGGTCAACGCTGGATACATGGTAAATTCGTTAAAATTAGTATAAACACACACACAGCTGTATGTCAGGAACACATCAAAATAAATTAAAAATATTTTGAACGAAAGTTAAAATTATTACATGGTACATCGTGAAACAACCTGATGCTGCACAAAGTGGTCTGGCACAGGATCATAAGTACGGTAAAACATTTGACAGACGACAGAAGGCTGGTAGTGTCAGTGTCGATGGATGGAACGAAAATCCCATTAGCCATCAGACAGGGTGTCCCAATTTCGACCCTCATATCAAAGTTGTGATTTTTATAATGGAATGCCTCAAATTTTACTGCATATTTGGAAAAACCAATTCAGAGGGAGAAAATTGATATAACATACTATGGGGTTTTCATAATTAGCTACTGAGATATAAGGTGTTTTGTCCAGAAAAACCCTCAGTCCGCCATTTTGAAATTTGGATTGCTGAATTTTGTATAAAACTTGGAACTTTTTCAATTTTAAATATGAAAAGGTGTTGGGGCATACTATCTGTCGTCTCACTATATCCATTTAAGTACGAAACACCCTGTAGTAGTAATGAGTATACCCAAGTACTCTCTTCTGCGTTATCGATATAAACTGATATTCCAAAATCTGCTTGTCCGTCTTCCTTTCTCCGTGTCAGAGTATCATAACAATAGAAACAATGATTCTCTGGTAGAGAGAACACCGTTTCGTTCATGAGATGTAGTATCTAGAAACTGAACAAATTATTTGATCCTAAGTACATAGCCGCGATGCTGCTCTAATAAAAATTTTATGCCAATTTGCTACCGACAAAGAGCAAAGAAACTTTTTCATTAAGCGAGTACTTGAAAGTTTCCAGAGATTGTGTGTGCCCCGGAGTCGCTTAAAATATTTAACGGGGGCGGAGACGCTTTGAATTTATTACTGTTACCCTCCACGAAATTGTGTATAGCAGTGAAGTCTGTGAAAAGTTCTATTGATTCTCATCATTTAATAGCATGTTAAGTTTCTAGAAAACTGACCGTTAGCCGACGCATACGGTACTGGGAAAGAATCTGGCGATTTCGAGTCTAAATTTACATTTTTGTTGTGTTTTTGCACAAAAGCTGGATGTGCAGAACAGGGTAGGATGCAGTGGGTTCACCAATAACTCGAAATAGTTTGAACTGATTATATACTCGGTAACGTTAGAAGTGTTAGACCCAGGAAAAATAATTTCTTCAACATGTGTTTCACAACATAATGACTATATTTAAAGCCTGCTGTGGCAACAATGTCAAAGTTTTATCTTCATTTATGTTTACCTTTGTTGATATTTTATCCTTTAGTTTTTGTATAGAAAGCAACTTCTGAGAGCTGATTAGTACAGGTATTTTTAGTTATTGCCCTTTCATTTACTAGTGTTAAGCATAACAAAATGCTATTCTTCCTAGTCAAATATATTCATACATATAAAATTTGAAATACATATTTACTTTTTTACAAATTTGGACCTGTTTAAGATTTGGCTTCCTAAGCGAAAATGCTCTCTCTAGCTCTTCCAAAAGTTTTGCAGGCAGGTACACTTGCACACAAAAGTTATATGTTGTCGATGGATGCCCCCACCTTACCCTAAGAAAAATTTCTGTGGACGTGTATGATCGATGTACATCAGGCGGGGATGACGATCGGCTCACATCCAGTCGAGCAGCGGATGCCGACTGCTACACACATGGATCGGCAGAACCGCGGAACGTATTATCGACTGGCCAGAGTTGGACGTACTTCCCACCATTCCGTTTTGAGGATCAATTTAGGGGGACACATATGATGAGTGAAATATGTTTGAAAAATGCATAGGCATATACCACTTTCAAAAAATTGAGAAGCATCCTTCTCCATCACTCTACAATCCCCACTCCCAATTCTTCACCCCTCCATCTCTTTCCAAAAATAATCAGGATCCTCTGAAACTTCAAAAAACGAAGTTTAAGCAATTTTAATTTTATTTGCCCCTAGCTTCGCCGCCACAGGGTCGATTACCAAAAACTATAAGGCTTTTTCGTCCTTGGTACATTATACAGGGGTCAAGGATTAGCGGACAGACAGACAGACTTTAATTAGTGACATAGATTTTCTTGATGTACATGTCAAATGACGTCCAAAAAAACATCATATCTCCCTTTCAAAAATGTTCGCGATTACAATACTTCCACGGCATTGACATAGGAAGTGAAATGTAAATCGGGGGTAATTTACTTCCCACATTATGAGGCGAAGAAGGTACCTATTACAATAGAGAATTAGTTCAAATCGAGGTGCTGTGTGTATTTGGCCGTTTGATCATTACAGAGGTTTGTTGGTCTGGGAATACTTCTTTATTTTACAAAATCTTCTTCTTAACATACAAAGAATGATCCTTTGGTTACAGTTCACCATCGTCTTAGCAAGAGCCTAACATTGAAAAACGCTTTCAGATCAATATTCATCTGACAGTAAAGTTACAGCTAACCTGTAATTGAAAAGAAGAACCTTATAGGTTAAGTGAATGTGTAACTTTTTGTGTTTTATAGTGATACAAGTTGTCACCCATAACGTGTTGAGTGGTACATAAACATATTTCGTATATCATTTCATTCCGTAAGCATTTATCCAACCGCCAGTTTACTAGTTCTAGTCTCACCAAGTTGTCTCTTAACAAAGCTTCATTTCTCTACCATCTGGATCCTTAACAACTAATTATTAATAATTGATATTCACAGCTTATGCATTGCAGTCGCATACTTGTAGGAATGGAGTAAAGGTTATTTGAATCAATAAATAGTTTTAACACGATGTGGTTGTTCATCTTACTCTTCTCTTAGAATCGTTTTTAACTGTTGTCATGTGATGCCTGTATATACTGCATGATTCTTCATTCAAATTAATGAAACACACGAGTCAGAGTGAGCTATATTGTAAATACCACTATGATTTCAATCATAGTAATAATATATCACGACACGAATCAAGATTGTAGTGTGTCTCCGATTTTGCAATTTACTAGACTGCTTCAGAAGGAAATTTATATATATATATATATAATTTGAAACGCCCTCAAACTCTTTCGTATGTTGTAAGTTTTTTGTGCAATTTTTTTTCTTCCTCAGAAAGGAGCTACCATGTTTCAGTGAAAATTATACAAGCGTTTCTGTAGTTCCAAGTATTTATGGTTTGACATACTTAATATTATTGGTTTGGTAAAAAACTTGAAGCTTGTGCGCCATTTATTTATGTGTCTTCGATTTCAAGCCATCGTGCATCTAGCCGCATAAGCAATCTGGTATAAGGCCGGATAGATATGTCGTTACATGATACATAAAATGTCAACATTCAACTGAAACAACGAAAATAAATTTAACAAACCATATGTATTTGGTGTCACAGAAAAGTGAGTATGATTTTCAATAAGAATTTATAGGATGTTCCGTATAAAAAACTTTATTCACACATTTCTGACACGTTGCATGGAATACTTCAATATAGTAGAGCACGAAAACTTATGTATATTACTTTTTTGTAAACGGTTATGCAGCACACTTGAAGTGGGAGTCAATTCATAGTGGCACACCCCGTACGTAATCGCGGATCTCACCTAGATCAGTGTCTAGAAAGGAGCTCATTCACTAATTTTGTTCCAGCATTCTTCCACACCGCCAGAAGTCACCTACGCCGAGCTGTCCATCGTCCGACCTAGTAGCCTAGACACGTCGAAAGGTGCCAACCACTACGCCGCTGGTACCAACACAGCGTACCGCGACGACTCGACCGTTTACGCACAGATCGATCACTCGCGGAGAGTACCGCCCCTCGGCGGTGGTCCTGTCAAGCCTTCCCCGATCATCTCTCCCGCCTCTATGATCTTCCCTGCGCCTGTGAGGCCAGGGTACTACCATCGGGAGGTGGTCACGGTTAGAACACCTCTCATGGGTGCGCAGGAGAGCTGTGTTTAAGCTAGCGGTTTGTACATAAAGGGCAAGTGGGTGTAATGTAAATCGATGTTAGTGGTAAGGACTGAGTGACCCCGACAGAAATAAAGGACAGAATGGAGAAAGCGTATAGTAATCTATAAAATATTCAGAAATCTCACAAGCAGTACGTAGAAAATGCTTTAACTAAGGATGGAACCTGCGTCTACAATGTGTGAATTACTCCAGTAAATAGATAGATTCTTCTTGCAAAAGGTTGTGGTAGAAAAGTTTTTGGCATCACTAGAATACTGCTTTATAATGGTCTTAGTCTCCAGTCAGTCATGGTACTGAAGAAGGTCGCCGTTGTGACCGAAACGCTCACAATAAAGAAGATTTTTTCAACACATGTGGATTCGATTGGCCATTGTTCTTTAGCGTGACGAACAGATACTATTAGCTAAGCTTAAAATCATATCTATTATCTCACAAAAAATACCTAGAAGACAGATTTGATACTATAAGTACATTTTCAGAAAGATTTTGTACCTTGATTTCTGTTTTTTTTTATCAGGGGAGTTCATATTTGGAAGGAAGTAAAGTAAAACTTGGAGCTCTATTTTGAAATTTTCTTACTAAAAACCATTAGCCGTGTGTTGGTATTAGCGGCAATTTTAATTTTGTTTTGATTTGGAATTCGTTAAACTACCAAAAAATTATAACAATGATGATGATAATAATAATAATAGAATGCCTTTATTCGATTGCCTTACAAATACATACTATACTACAACTATCTAAAACTGTAATGACTCATACGCGTGATCAACACGTGATCAGAGCTCGATCCCGGCTTCCTTCCAGTACAGCCGTATAGCGTACGACATATGTCGTTTCTGTGGCTTTGCGGTGGTCAACAGCACAGACAGAAATGGAAATAATGGCTGATTGTTCTCCGCCGGTAGAAAGACGCGTCTCGACCGGCAGACTCATAGGCGTCGGCAACGCATTGGAACGTGTTCCGTTGAGCGATCGCATATTGTGTGTTTTTATAAGAATTGTTGTGCGATTGTTATTGTTGTGGTTTCTATGGTTACTGTTTTGGTTATACTTAACCATGGAGAGTACAAATGGCACGAGTGGAAGTACTGAAAGCCAGGGAACAAGTAGACGGCTTCGTAAAGCACTGAAGAGGGACGCGAAAGAAATCGTGCTCAACGTGTTCAATTATCTGAACAGAACTATGTCGCAGGGAGATGCACTCGCGCGTTGTGAAAGTATGACAGGCGTTCCAGAGTGGACCATTCGCAGGGTGGTGCATGAAAAAAAGAAAACTGGAGCTACTACTGATCCAAAGTTTAATTTGAAGGGACGAAAGGCCGTTAAATTGGATAACGATAGCAAAATGGCGTTAAGGCGAACCGTACATTCATTCTTCTTTAGGAATGAGATACCAACCCTCAAGGCTGTACATGCAGCGATCAAGGAAAATGAAATTATACCCCAAATGAGCGTCGAGGTAATGAGGAAATCCCTGCACGAAATTAATTTTCGTTACGAAACGCGTAATCGGAAGTCAGTATTGATAGAGAGACCTGAAATAGTCGCCTGGCGTCGAAGATACCTACGCGAAATGATTGAATATAGGCGACAAAGCAGAAAAATCTATTATTTGGACGAGACATGGGTAAATGCAGGTCACACAGTTAAAAGAACCTGGATAGACAAAAACGTAGTGAGTAACCGACAAGCAAGCATTGAAGGTTTGTCAACAGGTCTTCGTGGACCGTCAGGGAAAGGTCAAAGATTGATCGTAACTCATATTGGTAGCGATAGTGGCTTTTTAGAAGAGTGTGACTTGATTTTCGTCTCTAAGAAAGGAGGTGATTACCATGACGAAATGAATGCCAGCTGCTTCGAGAGCTGGTTTCAAGGGGTGCTTCAGCGAGTTGAGGCCAACTCTGTGATCGTCATGGATAATGCTTCCTACCATAGTCGTCGAGCCGAACGTGTACCGACTATGGGATCTCGAAAAAGTGACATGCAGCAATGGTTGTGCAAAAACAGCACAAACCTGCGAACATTAGTTACGTGACTGATGAGATGGCCCGTCAATGTGGTGTCACTGTGCTGCGGTTACCGCCCTACCACTGTGAACTGAACCCAATAGAGCTCATCTGGGCTCAAGTGAAGGGTTATATTGCGCGCCATAACACAACCTTCAAATTACCAGACTTTAAGGTTTTACTTGAGACTTCCATACAGCTAGTAATGCCCGAAGCTTGGCAGAATGCTATCCGTCATGTTGTGAAGGTAGAAACAAAAATGTGGCAGCTTGACCACCACATCGATACCATCATAGAGCCAGTTATAGTCAATTTCAACGAAGAAAGCGATAGCGACAGTTTATTACTGTCAGATGTAAGTGGAAGCGACGATGAATAAAGGTAATTCCCAAATTTTTGACTTACAATACGTTTCAAACCACTCTTTATTGAAATGAAATGAAATGAAATGAAATGAAATGAAATGAAATGAAATGAAATGAAATGTTTATTATTCTTAGCCCTAAAGCTACTTCCTATAGTTTATAATAGTGTCTTACTCCAGTAATAAACAAAAAAACAGTAATTCTAGATTCCCTTAAAATCATAGTAACTGCAACCACAGTAAATGCAACAATAGCAAATGCGAGATAATGACATACAGTTATCTTAACACAGAAAGTACATATATTATGCCATTTTATCTAAATACAATTGCTTAACCTTACGAATAAATATATTTACAGACGTCGCTTCTCTAATTTCTGTAGGTAATGCATTAAAAAGTCTCAAACCATCACTAAAAAGACATTTTTGCATATGGGATGTTCTAGCGAATTCTATGTCAAAAGTGTTACGTGACCTGATATTATATGCATGCCTCTCGGACCTCGGTATTAGATATTCCTGCAAGTATTCAGGCAATAAATGATTTTTTGTTTTAAAAATAAATAACACATTTGACATTTCAACCTTTTGCTGTATTGAAAGCCGTCCGAGGGTTTTTAACATTAAATTAATAGGCGTATAACGTGTACAAAATAATATAGTGCGCATAGCCTTATTTTGTAGTAACTGGAGCCTTTGAATATCAGTTTTTTTGCATGATAGTAACAATGAAAAACAATAATTAAAATGTGGATATATGATGGTATTATATACAAGAAGACGACTCCAGTGACTAAGACTTTCAGATATTCGCCTAAAAAATCCTATTTTTTTCCCAATTTTTTTTACTAACATAATCAACATGCAATGAAAAATTTAGCTGAGGATCTAAAACTACGCCCAAATACTTCATACTAGATGCACTTTCAATTTGAATATTATCTATCTCAATACAAAATTTCTTTTCTAAAAATGTATTACAGTTCTGCTTTGTCCCAAAAACCATGTATTTTGTTTTTTCTACATTCAACTTAAGCCTATTCACACATAACCAGTTATACAGAATTTCCAGTATTGAGTTCATACTATCTACAACTTGTCTAAAATCCTTACCGTACACATAAAGCAATGTATCGTCTGCAAATAAGCTCAGAAATGTATTTACTAAAACCCTGTTCAAGTCATTTATATAAAGTAGGAACAAAAGCGGGCCCAACACACTACCCTGAGGTACCCCAATTTCACTATCAATTGAATTTGACGCCACGTTAATAATCTTCGTCACATGACAACGGTCTTTCAAGTAGTTCATAAACCATTTTAGTGCACTGTCTGTAATCCCATAGGTCTGCAATTTCTGGATCAGTCTTTTCCTATCAATAGTCTCAAATGCACGTTGAAGGTCGATGAATACACTTAACACAATATTCCCGTCATGAATGTATGAACGCCATTTCGAACACACATACTGCAGCGCCGACTCGCACGAGTGTTTTTCCCGAAATCCCGACTGTCCCTTAAACAACAGTTTTCTTGCCTCCAGAAACTCCCGTAACTGCGCACAAACCTCGGTTTCCAAGATTTTGTCTATCACTGGTAACAAGTTAATGGGTCGGTATTGAGCTGGTTTATTTGGTGAGGACACTTTTGGAATAGGCACTATAACACTAGTTTTTATTGCTTTTGGAACTTTTCTTGTTGTAAGGGATGCATTGATCAAGTGAAGTAAAGGGTATCCGAGTACACAAAAAGCCGTTTTCAAAAACTTAACAGTACAAATATCATCCGCTGTTGACTTGTTTTTAAGTTCCATTACCCTTTTTCTAAGTTGATCAATGCTTATAGTGTTGAAGCTTGACAGACCATCACTTAACTGTGGCAATTCTTGAAATGTCGGTGCAACTTTTGGTATTTTGTCGGCTATTTCCTTTATGCTTTTTGCATAAAAATTGTTAAAATTGTTAAAATTGTCTTGAACAGATCCAGCATCTTCCTCAAATTCAATATTATCATATGACAGAACATTCTTGTTTTTGCTGCCTACAACTTGCTTTAAAGTTTGCCACATTTTTTTGCTATCCCCCTTGCATTGGTCAATAGTAATTTCATAATATTTTTTCTTTTCGTTTCGAATAACACGAACGTAAATGTTCCTTTTTTTCTTATACAGATTCCAGTCTGAATTTAATTTGGTTATTTTAAACTTTTTATAAGCTTCATCCCTGTCTCTTCGGGCTTGGATTACGAACCTATTTATCCACGGTTGTTTGCGGGTTTGAGTGTTTTCAAGAGGTACAACTTTATTTACAGTTTCTGTAATATTTTTCATAAACTTTTCATATAATAGGTCCACATCTGTTGTTGAATAGTCCCAATCTTTTCCGTAGAGTTCAGCTATAATAGTGTTAATATTTTCCTTATTAAATTTTCGTTTATATTTCATTTCCTCTGTTTTAATCTCATGTTGCACATCCAATACGCAGCCTATAATTCGATGATCTGAAATTTGTGGAAAAGCATGTGACAAATCTAGTTCACCCATGTTAAACATTCATACCACGCCTATGAACAGCCGACTACTGGTAGTTAAGTGATGTTCACGTGAACATCGATGAGTCGTTACAGTTTTAGATAGTTAGTGTGACCTTAAGGTATTTTTCAACTCGGACATAAAATAGAATTACAAACATGAATAAGAATATAGTCGTCAAATAATACATACATGTGATATGTGAAAATTGCCTAATAATGGGTATGTAAGTATACATGTAAATTTCAAGTCATTTAATACAAAATCCTAATGCCCATATGATATGATTTGAAAAATCATTCAGTCTTATTGTAGCATAGAACATCTAATAAACTATCAGGCTAGCGATTTTGTGGAAAATTAAATGGCCCCTTGGTTATTTTGGCGCTCCAGAAATTTAACGCTGATTTGAAAAAAAAACTGTTGCTCATGGTGAATAAACTACCCATCAAAACCGTCAAAGTTTTTGAAAATGTTGCCAAATGCAATCGCCTTATACCGCGCTCATATGAGCACTTCACTAGCAGTATTCTAACGATAACAATAACAATTCTCCGC